CTCACCAGAGCAGAGTAGAGGGGCAGAATCACCTCCCTTGACCTGCTGGCCACACTGCTTTTGATGCAGCCCAGGATACGGTTGGCTTTCTGGGCGGCAGGCGCACATTGGTGGATCATGTTGAGCTTCTCGACAACCAACACCCTCAAGTCCTCCTCCTCAGGGCGGCTCTCAATCCATTCATGTTTTATATTCCTTTTACTCTTTTAGATGTTGGATGTCTATGACATTCTTCCTTTCGATAATCCAGACGGTGGCGTGTGGAAACAAGGATTCGATATCACGTACAATGAAAATGAATGGGACAGTGAACCGCTTCAAGTTTTTGTCGTGCCTCACTCACATAATGACCCAGGTAATATTTTAAGTATATTGATTTGGCTATCTGGAGCCTATTGAATTTAGAAATATATTGCAATTTCTGTTAGGATTTGGGATTTTTTTTGAAGCATACTACTTAATATGTTAGATTTAAGTCTAGCAAGGCAGTTAGGCAGATGTATAATTGAAGTGCTATTGACTTCAAGTGACAACTGTTGTGATAAAAGTCGTACATGTACTTAAAACTAGAGTAGAACGTCAGTGTTGATATTGGAAGGTAATATGGATTTCTGTGTTCATCCTGCTGGTAACCCAGTCTGTATTCATTGCTGCATTAAATATGGCCTGTTCTTATTTTTGACTTTTTAGACTGTTGTAGGTACTTAACCCTTACCCTGTACTAAAGATGTCTGCTTTTTTGGAAGATGTGACAGTGGCAAATCTGAGGTTTTTGACTGTAACACTTTCTTTACTGTTTTGTGCACACCCCTGCCCCAACATACAGTGGGATAATATGAAGTCTGGATTTAAACTGAAACCTAGGTATGCTTACATAATTTCACTTCTTCCAAGTGGATGTTTACTGTGTAATAAATAAAATGGAGAAGTGTCACTTTATTTTTAAATGACTGTAAAATACACACAGAAGCAGTGAATTATGCAGCTACAGTATACTCCTGACACATGTACACTGACCATGAGAAGCTGTGGAAGCTGCTTGTTATTGTGGAAAGCCACAATTTCGGTGATTTTTTTTAAACTTTACTCCTGTGTATCTCTCTAACAATTTAATTTGTTGTTTGAAGTACTGTGGGTCTGAGTGAAGTAAGATATGGTAGTTTGAACATAAGTGACTTTTATTTGCACATATCTAGCATTTTCAAAGAAAGTAAACACTGGAATTTGGAGTGACTGTATTGTCCAGTTATAACAGCTAAAATAACAAAGTATAGATATAATAAAAATATTCAGAGGAAATAATCACAGTATAAACTTTGATCTGCCTTTTTGTAGAACTGTCTTTAAACCTGTGTCTATTGATTTCTTCTCTAATTGCAGTTCTCCTGAAAACTTCCCTAGAAAGAGGCCACACTCTGTACAGTCATTTAATGAATCTGAAACCATCCTAAAGGGATGTACAAAACTTCTAATTCTCTTGGTTCTTATAAAGGGGTATGGAGTTTACATCTGTCGTCCTTCTGCTGAAGCTAGTAGGAGCATATCCTAATTGAGCGAGGATGTTTGGCATCCGGCTAGAGACCAGTTGCCTAGCGTCACATCTGTCCTCCTGAGATTATTTTAACTGGATTGAACAAAGACCTCCTGCACAGTGCAGGCTGAGGTGGCTGTACAGGAGTATGAGACTTGGGAGCTGCAGGGGAACATCATGAAGGAAGCTGAAAAGAGCTTTGCAGAAAGCTTTACCGGTGTCCATTCAAGTCATGAGGTTTGGCAGGGGCTCAGTGTTCAGGCACTGGTTTTTTGATTTTCTACAGGCTCTAGTAATTTTGTTTTTGTAGTTTTTAGAAACTTACGTTATTTTTATTTTATCTACATTCCTTCTGTAACTGTCTTCCAAAATAGAATATATTGGTCTGATTTCCTCTGTGGTGCCTGGCCTGTTTCATCAGTACTTCATGCAGAATTGACCAGTTTCTGTTGCCATTCTGGAAGGACTCTTTGGACCTAATGTTTAGCTTTCTGTCCTCCAGCCTTCTACTTTCTTCTTCACATCTAGATTCCTGTCTTGCCTCCTGTAATCAGCTGTGAGAGATTTACACAGCCAACACCTTTTGTGTATGACGAACTTTCGCATTGGGTGCTTAATCTAGTGTTTGGTTCATCCTGTAGCCCCCATTTTGCTTACCAGAAGTGGCCCACTGAGCGCTTGTATTCTAAAGAATTTGGGTATTGAAGTTACTGGACCTCTTTTCACATCAAGATTGTTTTGGTAGATACTAACGTATGTCACCACAAGTTACATACTCCCTCATTGTACGCCAAGCAAGGCATACAGTCTTGAGGCGGCTCTTGGCTCAGCTAGCCAATAACAAAGGCTCTCAATGTCAGGTTATGCTGGAGGAGGGTTTGTCGGAGCCTCTGAATTTTTAGATACATGTCTTTTGGGGCTTACAGACTGAATAGCTCTGTATTGCTCCTACGAGAAGGATCCCCAAAATAGTGGAATTGTTGGGAATATGGATGCATTTCTTGTTAGCCTCCAAATTAGGACAGCAAGTTACTAAGCTTGCTCTGTGGGGAACACCTTGAGCTTCACTATGTATTTGTCATGACGCTTGAAATATTATACCCTCTTTTAGAAGATCAGAGGATTTCAAGGGTTTTCTCAAGGTCCAGGGACTCTCTCTATGCGTGTTCTTCTCTGTCAGGTTTGGGTTCTTGCTCTGTGTTTAAAAAAACTCAACCAATAAACCTGAAAAAACTCAAGCAAATAAATAGAACAACCCAAACAAACAACCTCCCAACCACAAACCAAACAAAAACCAGAAACCCCAAATAAAAAAAGGCAATGACACCACCAAGAAAACAAACTTAAAAAAAAAAACACCAAAAACCCCCTGACCAAAACCCCCTCCTACCCCCTCAAAAAAAAGTTTCAGTTATCAGAATTATTAAACTTCTGAAACAGACAAATCATAGATACTGCTCTACATCCAGAGGTAGCCTCACGAACACCTTTTCCAGTTTAACATTTTGTGTTTGTTATCAATCATGGAATTTCCTGTACTTTCCCAGTAGGAATTTTCTACTTATCCAGGAACTATGTTTGTGATGTGTCTGTCTATTCCTTAATTTTACATTTAAATGATGTCTCTTGGTGCACTTGAGAGCTCCATTTATTAAAGTTTAATCTGATTCTATTTTGCTCTCTCCAGCTCTGCTATGGCCTTCTTCCACACATAGGGGTATGGGCCATAATGAACTTAGCTTCAGAGATGGGTTTTTGCTGGCATTCAGGTATCTGTCTTAGAGAGAGTCACGCATTAAATCTATAGTAAGGTACTTGTACTTCCGGCTCTCTGAAAGAAGTCCTCTCTGTGGCTGCCCCTTCAATAATAAGGTTTGAAGAATTCTGTGAAGCTGAGAGCTGTCTCTCATCTTTCTGTTGCAACTTTTTTACTACATAGATTATTCCCAAGGACTTGCCTGAAGTCTTAATGGTGTTGTCATTCAGCTTTGACAGCTGACTTCCTTGCTGGTGTCTAGTTTTGGTTCCTAAAGTCTTCCTCCTTAATACCTAAGTTCTTCATGCCTTTACTACAAAATTATATCCGTCCTTGCACCAACAGCAACTAAAAGCAAGAAATCTGCATCTCCTCTTGCATGCAATCTAAAAATCTCCTAGCTTGTTCAGGCTCCTCCATTGATAGCAAGTAGAGTTAAACTGAGATGTAATCTGGTAAACATAACCTGTTCCATCTCAAAGGTAATTGTGTGAGACTGGTTATTGTTTGCTTTTACAAAGAGCGCCATCATAAAAGTCCCCTGACTTCATACTGGTTTTGGTAAGAACATTTGTGGAATTGTCTGCAGTATGAGACTGTATACTAATAAGCACTTGAAAGAAAGAAAATTTATCAGTAACGAAGATCTGAAATCACTTCTATAGCTAATGGTTACGTTATGCCTTTCCCACAGAGGGTTTAAAGACATGGTGCACATGAAATGCCTTCTGGCAAAAAAGCTTAAGATATAATGAACCTATAGCATAACAATGCATGTGAAAAATATTTACCAAGAAACGGGGTCAGTAAAGATGTAACTGTATTAGCCGTAGAAGCTTTAAATTCTCATTACATTTTATGTGTTCTCATCTGGGGCTACTTTCTCTTTACTTTTTCACGTAGCTGGTTATGCTAGTGAGAATCTGTAGCTCAAAGGCAAAGAAACTGCCTTGAAACAGAATCTGTAGGGAGCAGTCTTAGGTTCCAAGTTCTGTTTTGGGGGGTGACTTACGTGTTGATGCTCTGAAACACTTTGTGTTGCTAAATTCTGCTAAAGCTGGGTTAACTGCTTCCATGTGAATTTAACCAGGACTTACAAACTCGGACTGTCTATGCTTCTCCCTTCAGTAGCTAATATATTTGCCTGTTATTGGGAAATCAGATATGAGAAGGGGTCCCCTTCACACTTTTGATCAGTGGCAAGCATAATTGTCTTTTAGTTGCTGGCAGCTGATGAAGATTTGAGCACCTTAGTAGCGTGTCTGATTTGGAGGGGACTCATCCAGTGCAGATTAATCTCAAACCGTGGAGAGATGTTCTGTTTACTAATAGCTGTGTTATATGAGGTTATAGCCATCGCAGATGGGTGGTATTTCTTTCTGGAGCAGATTAGTGAGCAATCATATAACCTGCTGTGCTGGCAAAGCCCTTGTGTTAACTCTCATGTGCTTCAACAGCAGTTTCATGTGGCTGCCTGAAGTGGATTAGACAGCTGAATTCCAGAGGGGAGAACCCTACTCAGGGACAGCAATATTGTAAAGCAACACAACTGGACTTGAAAGATGATGTTCAGATATGGCCTGAGGGGTTGAAAGACACCTCGAGCATTTATTGCTCTGTTGGCAGTGATGATTTTGGTGATGTGTCCTCATTAAATTATTTAAGAATTGAGACTTGTGAGCTTTGTAATATATACGTGTACCAGATCAGAGTATTTTATTGCTGAATGTGGTTGTTACAGACCTAGCACAAGCAGCACGTAAGTGGAATTGAAAAGAGACCAAAATAGATTTGCCCTCCCCCCTCCGCCCACCCAACCCCAATTTATACCGAAGTAAAAATGCATGTGAAAGTGTATGTGCACCTATGTCAGGTCTAAATACTACTTTTTAACAGTTCATTAATGATCTATAACATTGGTAGCCTTACCCTGCTATCACTCATGTTAACTCCTTTTTGTTACTTAAGTCATTGTGAAGATAAAAGAAAACTTAAGCATGAAAGTTTGATGCTGTTAATACACCATGGAGTTTTGGGTTTGTTTTCTGTTGACCAGATCTGGATATCA